TCCCCTACAAAAAAAACGCATGCATCGCTCGTCGCCCTTCCGGCAAAGATGCATCCCAACATGCCATGTTCTCCCTGCGGGTAGCAGAACCCCCCTTCAGGGTGGCTCACAAGGGGAGGCCCTAGTCCGCAATCCGTGGTGGGATACCTTCAAGGGAAAAGGCTCCAATTCAATGAGTTTTGGGCCCTTGGTCGTTTTCTTTCCAGGCCGAAAGAACTGATCCGGGTTCTTCATTGGGGCCGTTCCGGAGGCCTGCATTGGAGTTGTCATGAGCCTTGCGGATTGATTTCGAACAACGCGTGTTCAAATCCCCAAAATGGGTGGCATTCTTTTTGGAGTCTCTTCAAAACCTGAAGGATACCCTTAACAAACGACCCACCTAACCCCTACTCTAATTACCTTCTTCGTCTACAACATGATAACCCTGTCAAAAAAAAGGGGTTCAAGTATTTACCACGGAAACAAGTTTCGCTAATATATTACAATACAAAAGGGTACCCCGCTCCCAAACCTAGGTGTCATTTGGTAGACCTAGTAATTAATATTGACAAAGTGCACAGAACGTGCAACACCGCAAACATGAATATGTGTCAATTCCAGGAGTGGATAAATGCACACAACGAAACGCGTATGTTTCTGAAAGAACAACCAAACACCATGCAAAAACGACTATTTTCCTGTGTATGGCAATTTTACTTGTTTGCGTCTCTCCGGTAAAAGTACGAAAGTAATAAGTAACACTTCCGGCCGCACGAAAAGTAAAAAAAGTAAAGTCCCAAAAGTAAATGTTGTTTCACTGCCTGGAGTCTTACCGTTTTACTCTTCCCGCTTAAGTGTTGGCAATTTGACTTGTTACTTGTCATGGCTCCCCAAGTCTTATCTTTTACTTTGCTACCCCTTCTAGTGGTAAAAACAAATAACACGGTACGTTTTTCGAGGGGAAATAGCATATTATTAATATTATATGTATATATAGTGTTATACACCAACTAGGTCCTCCAGAGAGCTTGGAACAAGGGTACCCTTTTTCTGCGGTCTATTTTAGTAGGGGAACCCTGCCAACCAAAAAAGAAACGGTAAGAAAGAGAGAGCACCAATTGCTGGAGGACCTAGCCAACCCAAGCTCCTCCCCTTCTCCTTTGACTCTCGCATCAGGCCTCCGCGAGGCTCAGCAAATGCCTCGAAAAATGCTTCGGAGAGCCCGCGTCGAGGCGCCCGGGACGAGTTTTGTTGCTCTCGCGGAGGGGGGGAGGGGTTTTTCTCGGGCCATTGGACCCAATTTAGATGATGACAATCTTAGTCCGTAAACAACCGTGGTTGTGTTAACCCAACTTTGGTTTAATGATGGTCTTTCTTGGGCGGATGTGTGTTTTCCTTTTTGTTTTTCTCTTTTTCTGAGGTTCAACCGATTTTCATCATCTAAATTGGGCCCCTTCTCTTTCTTTCTGGGGGGGGGGATGGTTTTTCTAAGGTTCAACCGATTCCCATTGGACCCAATTTAGATGATGACAATCCTCTTCCGTAAACAATGGTGCTTGTATTAACCCCACCATTGGTTAAATGCTGGCTTGAACCCCAGGCTGTTTGGGAGGATTGGGTTCCAATTATAGTCTTCGTCAGGGTGGAAAACACACACCCATGCAATGATAGAAAGCAAGAAACATGCTTTTTGCGGGGCACAGGTTTCACTGCCCGGAATCTGAAACAACCACTTGTCAAATATGGTGGAATCCCACGTGGCCAGTTTCCTCTCATAGAAAGTTGCTTGGGAAACAATCATTTGTAACCAGCCGGTTCCAGGTGGTTTACAGGGAAACGAGCAAAACCCACCAATCTTTGGCCAAATGACAAAATATGGAAGCCCAAATGCGAACTGTTAATCCGACTCTCCTGAAGGGACCGGACCCGTTGTTTGTTTTCTTCTTTTTTTCCTCTCAACACCCGCAAAACCAAGGGCACCCTGTGTGCCTGCCATGAAAAAGAATGGAGCACCCCCCAACGACTGATCCTTCCTATGTCCAAAATTCCAAGTACTGTCCAAACAGCAGTTGTTGGGGGAAGATGTGTTTGGTAAGCCAAGAAAAGGATTCCTCCCCTCAGAAGGAGACCCAAGGCGTGGCCTTACTCCAAATACCAGCGTTCTTTTCAGTTGGCATTCTTGAATACCAACGAGCTTTTTATGGTAAATACCTCCTTTAGTAAAGGCTTAACATGACACCGACTAAAAAAGCGCTTTGGAGGTTACGGGGGTATACGACAAACCTTCGGATATGAAACCGCAGCCGGGGAGCTGGATCTCCTCGTCTTTCAAAAAGTTCGGTATCACCTCAGCGCGCACTAAAAGGCGTCTCGACAGCATTTCAAACCAGCACCCGGGTCCCAACAACTGGTACTGGCTGTTCCCACCTCCAAAATTCCAACTGTCCAAACGCGTTGTTGGGCTGGTGCTGGCGTGGATTCCGTTCACCTTTCTCGGATCGGCGCAATTGCCAAAGCCCCCGAGGGCTCCAGCAAAGCCAAAGCAACAAGGGCGCTTTTTGCCCTTTCCTCCGTCGACTCGGATTGCGAGCTGGCTTCCACCACCCCCAAAACCAGGGAAAACGTGATAGCTGCAGTGGCTGTGTACATCCAACTCAAACCCCGGTCTCACTTGGGCACATCGGCCCCAAACAAAAAACCTCCAAGATGTTGTTTGCCGATAAAATGGGTGTTTCTTTTCTTTTAGGAGACAACCAAAAATGGCTTCGGTTGTCCTTTGGTTTTCTCTCCAAAAACCACACCAAAAGCGGCACCCCAACACGTGACAATTCGGACACTGGAGAGGTGTAGGGGTGGAAACCATGGCTGGCGACGAAGTGGCTGAGGACATGACAGTGATCTTCGGATCAGGGTACACCGTGTACGCTTTCAGAACCTCGCTGGGTTCAGCCAAACAAAGGCTTGCTCCCTCCGAAATCGGTGAGGACAATGTGGCTGGACTGTTCAAAAATAGGTTGGCTTGGCCAATCCGATTTTCCATACTCCCTATAGGGAAGCCACTACAAAGGGGATCGGTTCCTTGCGTAACCCAAGGTAAGAGTCTTGCGGGACTTAACTTTCAACAGCCCAGTTTCGCAAAGGGAAACTCAACTGGAGGCAACTTTCGAGCCTCGTGTTTTGGTCGCCTTCCAGGTGGAAAATGGGGCAGGATATGGGGAAAGCACAAGCATGAGACGGTTTCCAAGCTTTGCCACCAAGCACTCGACACACAGGGGTTCATTGACCCAGTTGCCAGGAAGTAGCAAAAGAGCACACCATCGCAGTCGGTTCGCTTTTTATCTCATCGCCCCGTCCCCAACTCCCATTCCCCCTTGGTTTCCTCACTAACACGGCCCTCTGGTGGGGTTGTTATGTAAATGGACAGGCCAAACCCCAAGGCAACTCGGTTGCTTTCTGCTCCCCTGCTAAAAGTGACTAACTTTTAGTGGCTTAGTGGAAAACCCACTAGTTTGCAAAAAGTCTAAGTCCAAACATCCCTTGGCAAAATGCACCAAAGGCAACACACATCTGTGAGCGCCTGCGGCTGATGGTCCAGCTCCTCCATGCTTCGGGGATCCACCGCTGTGGCCTGCCATCCAAGTCCTTCACGCTGCCTGCTCCCCCGCTGCTTGCGCGCAGGAAGAGGTCAAGTGCGCATAGGGTCCCTTTTGGGAAAATGGATGCTCCTGGCAATTAGATTGCGAAGCAACCAGGTCAACCAGGGCCATCTATGTCTTGCCGTTTTGCACAAAACAACCAAAAAGGACACCTATGCTCGTGCATGCGCCTTCTTTTCTCGCGTAACCGTTTGGTGGCGAACCGCACGAGCTGCGACTCGAGTGGAGACTTTGTCATTGTCTACTGCGAGTTCCCGTCTGCTGCAGTTCCTGATGTTTTTTTCACACAAACCGAGGGATACTGAATTTTGGATTGGTCCAAGAGGTGTATAAACTGCCCAAGTCCGAACATGTGCCCAAGTGCTTTGACGGTACCTTTGCTACCTTGGCTTGCATGGACACCAACCGATTTTTTCCACCGCGTTGTGGGGTCCCGATTTAGACACGTACCTAGTGACCCCTGCACATACCATGGCAATGCCAAGTACCTTGGCTCCATGGAAACCCATGGCATTTCTTGAATTTTCGGCGTGAAACGATTCGGACGTGTCCACATTCCGCTGACATTGCCACGCATTGACTTCAGTCCTATGACCCCCAAAACTCGGTTGCTTTCTGCTCCCCTGCTGAAAGTGACTAACTTTTAGTGGTTTAAGACGTAAAACCCATTATTTAGCAAAAAGTTAAAGTCCTAACATCCAAGCAAAATGCACCAAAGCTCAGTCCTAGGAGGAAAACCCATTGTACTAGAAGGGCCCAAAAGGTGATGCTTAAACTATAGTAGAAGCGGGGAACTAGCTTTCCCTAGGTCCTCCAGTAGAGAGGTTAGAATAAGGGTACCCTTTCTTCTGTAGTCGATTTGAGTAAACCCCCCCCCCCAAAAAAAAAGGGGAGAGAAGGGCACTACTGGGGGACCTAGCCTTTCAGCTCCTTGCAACCTTGCCATAAATAGGAGGATTCATGCACCCTTAAATCGGGGCACCGGTGAATGGCAGATGTTCTGAGGTGGCTTCCCTTTGACCACTACCCATGTTGGGAAACCCCCCGAAGCTCGCCGATGAACTCTGGAGTTAGAGTCATCTGGATTGCAGAGAAGTCTGCAGCAATGTCCATGGAATCTCCTCCAGAGCCCTCACGCACATGAATTGATGCGTTTGCAGACCCGGGGCCCATGCGTTTTTCAACCTGTTTGCGACCTCCATGTTGTCTGTTGGCTTATGGGCCTCCGATATCCCCCAATCCCCCAAAGATTCATTTGCTCTCCAATGTTGTGCAAAGCAACCAGCGGTTGGTCAAAAAAGGCCCGGGCCCCGTTTTGAAGACTGCCGGAATCGAACCCTCCCCGCGGAAGGAGCGGAGCTCTCACTACGCCTTGGCGCGCGGTCTCTCGGGAATGAGGATCTCGGGTGGCGGGATTCTCAAAAGAATCGGGCCCCCTACATGGCTTTGGCGTCCCTTTTTATGCAACCAGTCAACAAAAGGTGAGTTCAAATCCCATTTGAGCGGCACCCACCGACCCTTGGTTCTAAAGTTGCTACAAAGGTTTATATAGGTCTTGCTATAAACCGTATGCAGCCAGGATGGAGGTGTTGGGCGCTGTTGAGAACTTCCCTGGTGTCCTTGATATACATGTCCTACGAACCCCGGGCAAGTAGTGGTTTGGGGCCAGGAAGGAGCATTTGATTCCATGTGGGCGCTCCCAAAAATTAGGAGACCCCCTTGTGGCCGTTTCCAGTTGCTATCCCTGCAAAAACATGATCGGCCGATGGGAAAGACCGCAAATACTGCCAGGGATGCTTTTCATCCTTTGTCTCACTTCCTGAGTTGATGGGCCAAAACCGTCCAAACTTGTTGCCGCAAAAAATGGCGGCAACCCCAACCCCGAAAAGTGAAACTCAGGGAAACGCAACCCCCAAAGTCCGGGAAACTCGGGGAGTGAGTGTAAGGGGAAATGGGTCCGTCGTTTTTTTGGAGGGTACCAAAATTTCCCTACGTTGTTGATGGTGCTAAAGGCAGACCAAAAGGAAAACCACAATATTGGGGGCTCTACTAGGATCTAGGGTCTAGGGTCTCGTCTAGGGTTTGCGGTGATCTGGGTTTGAGGTCGAGGCTCTGTGGGTCGATTCAAATCGGTCAAGGGTCTGTAGGGTCTTTAGGGTCTCGGGTCTAAATCCCAAAAAAAACACCTGAATATGGGCAAAATTGAATTGAACCACCAGGGGGCCGCAGGTTTTGGTCCATGTTTCCATTTACCAGGATTCCATGTCGGGTACTTATTTTTCCCCAACAGCTGAAAGCTTTGGGGTCTCAGCCCAGATAGGCGCCGGGGTGGTCCGGGGCGGCCCGGAGGTAAGGTTCCACGAGGGTTCCTCCAGGGTTCCACATGCTGTTGGGGATATCACCTGAGCTGAGCTTGTTGACCCACAGCCACCTCAAAATGAAACGAAGGACCCAAAATCCCAACATCCTCCCGAACGCTCGGCTTCAGCTGGCAGGGGCCTCCTTGCCGCGGCGCCGCTCCTGGCCTGGAAAAAGGCCCGGAGGGATGGCCCTGTGGGGGTAGGTGGGTGGGCGGGCGGGCGGGCGGGCGGGCGGGCGGGCGGGTGGGTGGGTGGGTGTGTTTGTGTTTGTGTTTGCGTGTCAAAAGGTGTAGGGCCTCTTATAAAATCCACCATTTGCTTTGTATCTCTGACTTTGACCCTCCCGTTTTGTGGTGTTGAAAGGCACAAAACGGAGAAAAACCAGTTGGCCATTTTGGGGGGTCCGATTCAAGAAAAGACACACACAGATATTGCAAGTACACCAGCCCCACTTGGCCCCACTTAGCCCCACGTAAATAAACCACACTATGGCAAACCGCAGTGAATCATTGAACAACCTATGAACGGTTTTCCACGGTAAATATCAATCCCGTTTCTAATAGAGGGTTGATATGATACCCTGTTGTCCGCGTTGCCATGGAGCCTGCCGAAAAATGGCCGCTTTCGAGTTGTAGATGGTCTTCGCGATCCCCCACTCAGGTTTCGTGTCAGTGGAGGGAGGATATGTTGATGGTTTTCGAGTCAAAGTCAGCTGGGGTGTTTCGGTTTAGCCAATCACTTGGCTGACTTTGAGAATGGTATAATGATGGGGCGCTGAGCAGGGACATCCCCAACCACAAGTCGCAGCAAGCTAAAATGAGCCTTGGGCTCTAGCAGTGGAACGAAAGCGCATGATAAACCTCCCTCACTTGGGGGTGTCTTATTCTCGGTTTGTGAGTTGCAGAATGTGCCCAGATGGAGTAATCGATTTTTCATGACTTCAGCCCGCATGTCTTTTTTGTTTGCGTGAATAGGAGTGCGTTTGCGCTGGCCGCATCACCACGATTTTTACGGCTAGGCTGCAAAACGGTTGGCATCAGGGAATTAGCAAATGCTTTAGGCAGCAATGTGGATGGGTGTCTTGCATCGTGATGACACCGAAAGCATTCCGCGTCTCCGATCTGGCCAACTTCCCATTCCGCATCTCTTCCGGTGCATCCCGCAATGCAGCTAGTCTAGGTCCCTCAGTAGTGCCCTTTTCACCCCTTTTTTGGGGGAGGGTTCCTTCAGAAAAAAAATCGGGTACCCTTATTCTAGCCTCTCTATAAAAAAGGAGGGCAGTCGGAGTGGGGGGGAAGGGGAACTTCAAGCAAACACTAGGTAGCGATGCAAATTGCGCAGGAAGTGGGGTAGGGAGCAACCACAAAGTCGTGCTACAAACAGCACCGGTCGTTGGAAGGGGCACCCAAATCTCGAGCCTGGGGGCGACATGCGGCTGCTCGGAAGCAATGTCGGCGCCTTGGAAGGGGACGCCAATCGTCTCGAGGTATGGGAAAACACGATGAGTGTTTAAATGGATGTGTCTTTTTGTTTTGAAGGAATCTGACTTAGGTTGGTTTAAAGAGAAAGCAGCAGGAAACCAAGCATTCTTGGCTGTCCCTTGAAAATGAAAAACACCCAAAGAGGAATTGGCCCTTGATATTCCACAGGGGAACTCCCACATTTGCCATGGTACAGAACGTGCTCGCTGGGGTGGTTTCAAGGGAAACCAAACGCCACTGATGTTGCGGGGTGCCCTAGTTCGAAGCTCCGGCACACTGGTGATGATGCGGATGCTGATAATGCCAATAATGCTGGCGATGCTGGTGATGATGGCGCAAATGACGCTATCAATGCAGCGGATGCTGGAACACTTTGCCTTGCCAGGGCTCCATGGAATCTGCTTCGAACCACTCCCCAGTATTGACCCAGCTGTGGGAAGAAAAAAGAAAGTCACCACTTGGAAGTAGATCACCACAATCCCACCATTTCAAGATCAGGTCCCTCGTGAAAATCAACTTCCATGGTGCGTTTGTTTGAAGGTGTTCCGAGAACCTCCGGGACCAAATCCCGGGCTCCAAATCACAACCAGAACCAGGGTCAACAAGAAGTGCTGTACAGTACTTAAAAACTGACTCGTAATTTTGATCCAAACCCAACAAATGTTGAATAGAAGGGTCCAAACCCAAAAAAAGGGACTCAAGTCCTTTCACGGACCTCATCACCCCAGAACCCGAAGTTTCCCGGAAAGAAGACGACTCAGTGCCCCACCCAGCTGCTTTGAGGCCGGCTGCAGGGCGACCTCGAACTGCTCAACCCTAGGAAGTTTGGATGGAAAAAGGACCAAAAACACGGGGGGCTTCCCTTTGAACCGCCAAAAACACGGGGGGGGGGGGGACTACAACAAAGCACATTCGCCACCCATAAGGACAAAGGATCGGAGCCAAGACCTAGACCCACTGCACTGGCTGATTTATGCAGGACCCCAAGCCCCAGTTTTCGTGGGTGAACGAATCAAAGAGCGAGGGCTTGGGCCTGAAAAGGAGTTGCCAACATTCCCTGATCATGGGGGCGTTCTTTTGAGGTTCGCCGTTTTTGGGCTGGGAAACCATCAAGTTTCCACCGAAATCAAAATTTGTGGGGGGTGCTTTTGGAGTCGTGGTCGGCCAAGTTCGCGAGTGTTTGGCTGCTCTATTCGTAACCGACTAACAACCAAGGGTCCGTCCACCACTTGGGACAAAATTGAGTTAACCACCCAAGTTACCAACACTTTCTAAGACCCAAGTCCCCCCCCCACCTGTTTTTTCCTTGTCCAAAATTCCAACTGTCCAAAAAGCAGTTGTTGAGACAGAATCGGGTGCTGGTAGGAATCGAATCGAAGTCCCAAGTACCGAAAAAGTCACTTCGCCAACTTGACTTGCCAATGCTCAGTAGGGTGGTGGAATAAACCCAGGCTTTGGTCCTTGAAGCACACCACCAGTTGGATGGTTGATCTCGAGGTTCCATTGACATATCCCATGCTCTCGCAGCCTTGAGGGGAGCTCCTTGAGCCTGGGCTTGCTGCTTGGACCGCGCCATGACCGGCGCTGCGGCGCTGAAGCCCACCTCGGCTCAGGGATGAGCTGGGCTGATGGGCTGATGGGCTCTTTGCTCAGCAGGGGACGCAAAAGGTCGTTAGACTTCTTTTTGGTTTACCGGCAAAGCCATCGAATTTTTTCCCCATGGTACAAGGCGCGATTCGGTCGCACCAAAAATCAGCCGTCCACACAGCACACAACTAGCACTTGCCAAAAAAGTGAAATCAATCGGTAACCTTGTGGGACCTTGACTCTACATGGAACAAAAAAGGGAAACCCAAAGGTCACAAAGCGGATTCGCCGCTGGGCAAGTGAGCTTTGAAAGCTGTGGTTTAAAGGGAAACCAAAAGGAAGAAACCAACGAGGTTCCGATTCGTATTTTGAAACAAACCCATTGATAAGCCGCACCCAAAACCCGTTCAATGTTGATTTTACCAACACAGTTTTCATGGTTGATCTGGGCCTACTACAGTCCTGTGCAAGGTAGTAGAACCACCGGAGACGGGGGTCGCAGGGTGTCAACAGGAATTGGTCCAAAGTTCATTTGAGCAACATGCAAATCATTTGCCCCCGCTCGCAAATTTCGGTGGGCCGCATGTGCAAGGCATTTGAGCAACGGATAATACTGCTTGTGTTTCCTTCATTTGGGTAGTCCGCCCCCTTTTTGCAGTTGGGCGTCCGTCCATGTCTTCCCGAACCGTTGAGTAGAAGTGGTATATCATATGGTCCCTCGCTCAGTTTGCGAAGCGCAATTTACGGCACACACACACACAAAGGTGCGGACAAACCTGTTTCTGGCTGCTGCCACTGAGAAGTCGCAAAATGCAGTTGAGTAACAGGGCAAGCACCCCAACATGCACCTGTTCCTTGGTTGCCTCCCCTAGAAGCGTTCTGGGGTGCCTTTTTGGCTGCTATCGCCGAGTTGCAGGTCGGGAGTAGTTCCTCAGCATCACGCCTGAGCCGAAGAAATGTGTTCGGCTCAAAAAGCTGGGGGCAAAACACGTTGCACATATTTCTACAAGGGTCACTGTTTTTCCCCTTCCAAAGCAATTGACTGGTGGCATCCCTCTGCACTTTGGGAGGTTGAAAAAGGGAAATGGCTCGGAAGACCTGTCTAAAAAGCCCTAGGAGCCCCTTGGACCTCATTATTTGAGGCCCCAATAACGTTTCAAGGCCCTCATATTCGGGTCCTCTTGGGCGCTAGGGACGGGTAGCTTCCCACCGCCCGGCCCAGTGAAACATTCCCGAGACTCAGCTCGCCGCCCTTGGCCTCAGTGCGAACGAATTGCTCGGTGCAACACGAGGTCGGCTTCAAAAAGTCAACACTCCAAAAGTTTACAACCTACTCCAAGTACCAACATGTTAGTGCTTTCTTATGATGATCGTTTTGTTTTCGTGTTTGCCTTTGTGTTTGTTTGTGTTTGTTTGTGTGTCTTTTTTTTGGTGGGTGTGCCATGTCAACCCTCTACTTTAAAGCCACAAACAGTCAGCCAGTACCCTGCAAAGCCGTCGGCTTTTCAACCCATGGGTCTTCGAAGGTTTCGTCCGCGCTCGTATCGGAGAGCGGGCGAAGCCCAACAAAGTCGATCACCTTGGACAAGCCACTTGGCCGCGCGACGCCTAAAATACTGGATGCCGACCTGTCATATGGATACCTGGACCCTCAAACTACCCATAAAAATGGGAGATCACCCCATAATTTTGGGGGTCAAACCCATTTTTAAGTTGGAATGTTGAGGGTCCAGGTAAGTCTTTTTTCCGAGTTGGTATCCATTCTTACGGACACCAACAAAAGTGGCTCTCCTTTTGGGGGGGGATCGTCACACCCTTGATTAGACCAGCCAAGAGTTGTGCAAACGGTATCCATAATGGGCCAATTCCAAGATATATTTGACCTGACGAACGGTCGCCGGGCTCAGTGCTTGTGCCAACCGCGTGTTGATATTTCAGCTGGTTTCGGCAATCGCCATGTTTAAACACACGTTTTGTTGAGGCCGGCTCGGCACCCCGAAAAGGGCTGCTGGAGAGGGAAACCAAATAGAAACCACAAAATGAGGGGGTGGGGGGTGGGAGGCGGAGTTTGTTTGGTTGGTTGTTGGGATGTTTAACCCACTCATTGGTGTCCAAAACTACTTGGGCATGCATGTTAATGGGGGACCCTTCGGTGGACATCATGTAGGTCCGGATTCATGCCACCCAACCACTTTTGAAGTGGTTTCCTACTGTGGTGGACGAAATCCAGCACTTTGAAACCATGGTTGAAACCATTGTGGTTGGTATTTACAGGGGAATCGAATCATTCCAGGGTTTCTTAGGTGGTTGGATTTCTGGATTTCGCCCACCCACAGTATTCAAATGTGTAGCCATTCTGCAAAATCAAAGTTCGATCAGTTCGATCCTAACCCGCAAATCGGTTTTTCGTCTCGAGGCAAAGAGCCGGAAGGTCGTAGCGCGGAGAGGACTTGACGTTCTTCACGGTGGCCGAAAGCCTCGGAGCCGCTTGGAGCGAGGGGCTCCAAAGGTTCGGGTCAGGGTTGGTTGGAACCCAAGGCCCCAAATACGAGGGCCTTCAATTCCCCCAAAGGCCTCAAACTACGAGTGTCTTGGGCTCCAAGGGATCGCTTCGGGTTCGTTTAGGAGTCTCCACGTGGGTGTGGGATAGCTTAGGATTGGTTTCGCCAGAGCTGTGCTTGGCGACTTGGATTGGATCCTCGTCAAGGGATGGTTGTCCCTCTAAGAACCAGCAATCAGCTACTGGCCCTGTTGGTCTGCTCTGTTTGTGATTCTCAAACGCCGGACAACGTGTGTCTTGGGCGTTTTTCGCCCGCATGTTTGTTTAGCATAGGAAGAAGGAATTGGGAGCTCAACTCAGGCGCCAGCTTCTGAGTGATCTTCACAGCCGGCCACTCCTGAGCTCTCCGTGCGGGTTCGTGGGAGCCCCGCGCCCCCGAAGCCGCGGCCAGAGGCCCAACTTCAGGCGCTCCAGGGCCCTAAATTTGAAGCATAGACGGGATGTTGGCCTAACTTGATGTGAGTCAGAATCAAAGCCCGGGATCAAAATGGTCGATCCCCAGAACCAGGTAAAGAACCATGTAACCATGTAAAGAAGTAAGAGCCATGTAAATAATTAAGACTATAAATGATTAAGCCATGTGAATTAAGTAGTAACCATGTAAATAATTCAACCCGGGAATGTTTGCCCAGATGGTCGGTCGATCCCGAGAACCATGCTTCAATAATTTTCAGAAGGCGGATCTCCGCAGCATTTTTTATGGCAAGGGGATATCCCTTCCTAACCGGATCATCTACCGGGTTTTGAGCAAGTCGCTCAGGTGGACCTTCTGGGGGCCATGGGAGGCACAGATCATGTCACTTTTCCCCTGGGTCGCAGAGGTGCATGTCTGGGAACCCATCATGACTATGGGTTGACCTTGGAAGGGGAGCACAGATTTAATATGCTTTTTTGGCAGTCCAGCCCAACGACAACTATGCGTTGGCAGCTGCAATAGGTGGACCTTTGGGGTCATCATGACTATGGGAACCCAAAAAGGGCGCAAACCAAACGGGGAAGATCCAGTCGCTTCGCTTACCACTGAGCCTTCGTCGCCTTGGGTTGGTGGTTTGGGGGATTGAACTCGAAGCCACAAACCACCACAAAAACCAGCAGCTTGGGCGGCGTTTTCGAAGATGTCCACTGTACCCTAGAGTTCAAACCCCATAAACAGAATTCAAATCTGGGCTGCCCGTTTGCTGATCCCCCGCTAAAAGTTTAACTTTTAGTGGGTTGAATGGAAACTACCACTAAGCACTAAAAACCTAAAAGTCGAAGGAACCGGATGGCTGGGAGCCATCAAGAAATGACCAGCAGTTTGAAGGGGCAACCAGTGGTGGTTCTATGAATCCAGCCATCGCTTTTCTGTGATGGCCTGCCTGCAGTTCAGGGCCTGGAGATTTTAGGAATGGAACATATCCCACCCTGAGGGTTATAGGTGTCCTGGGTTCCACTGGCATAGCATTGGCTTTAGTTTGTTTAGAAACAGATGGGTTCCACTGGTTTAGATTGGTCTTATACACCATTTGCCAGGGAAACCAATCTGTTTTACAAAAAGGACACCTATGGTCATGACCCCTCCTCCAATGAAGAACCCATAGCGACCCATTCTGAAAGGGGGACCGCAAAGAGACCCAACAGCCGCCCAAAAACGTTATCGAGACCCAAAGGGGGCATAATGATCCGTTGTTTTGCCTCATCCTCGTGTGAGGAGAAATCAACAAATGCGGTCAGTTTGGAGTTGGTACCTAGGTTCGCTTAGTTTTAACGGGAAACCAAAAGGAGCCCCGGCATTTTGGGGTGCAAAAGACCCACACGTCAAAACAAGCAAGAAGTGGGGTTTAACTTCCCGCTCAGCAACTTTTGGGTTGCCCCCGTTTCTTGAACCAGTGCGATAGGGAATGAGAAATGGAATGAACACAGAATTCCCTTAAAAGGACCCCCCAAGATGAAGAGTTTATCTCGGGGTCAGACTCTCCTCCTTCGCATCTGTCGCACTTGCAAGTTTTCCGTGTCTCTACGTGTCGGTCCCCACGTCTAACACGGCGAGTTCTGAAGGCCCAGACTCGGAGATTCGAGTGCGAAGCGGTGATCCACCTCGGCCGTGACGGCGGCCGGCGCGCTTGCCGGATGGTGTCCTAGGGGAACCCTTTCCGGTTCATTCCAAGCAAAAAGCCACTGGCACAGCATCAGGTTTGCGAACATGTGCTGCAGTTTTGCTGCGAGGTTCATATGGCCGTGGCTCAAAATTAAACCGGGGGGCAAACCGCGGGTTTTGGTCCATGTTTCCACTTCCCAGGGCAACCCATTTTGGAATTCCGGTTTTTTGAGCCACAGCCATCTGGCCATGTCTACCCGAAAACCCCGGGAAAAAACCTTTCAGCTCGCCAAAAGAGGCGGTTTCAAGCCCGGATGATTTCAATTGCAGCCCGGCGGTTTGGAGCCCGGCGGATCAAACCGCCTGCCCCAATTGACTTGGGGCCTTGGCCAGTGGTCTGAATCACCACAAACAACAACCCCCCCCCCAAAGAAAAAAAAAAACAACTGGCCCGAGAGTGGTCTGCATCACACCCAGTCCTGGAGAGACTCCCCCCTTTTTCTCAAACTGCCCCTGTGGGTCTCGATTCTGTTTGGGCCACGGCCCCAGAGATCCTTCTGCCCCCTTTGGGTCTCGATCACGTCTTTGGGCGGCTGCCGGTTTTCTTTCCGGGCCCCTTTTTCGGGAAGCGGTCGCTATAAGTTCTTTGGAGGATCCCTGTCATTGAGTCCCGGGTCATGACACCCTAAAGCAATATGAGAACGTGCTTGGAGGGTGTTGGGTTGAGAGGAACAAAAAGGTATACGAGCTATTTTGGCTTGAGTTTTCCTCTGGACTTCTCATTTGCTTCTCTCTCTCTCTCTCTCTCTCTTTCTCTCTCTCTCTCTCTCTCTCTCTCTCTCTCTCTCTCTCTCTCTCTCTCTCTCTCTCTTCAGCCCAGCCGCGGAAGAAAACTCTGTTTATCGGTTTGATTCGGGAAACCTACCAGGCCCCGCCAAATACCAATTAGGTGTGTTTATGTGGCACTGAACAACTTGGTCTCTCACTCTCTCACTGCAACCTGAGGCATCAGCCCAGTGTGCTTTTGCTGCAAATGCTGCTTCTGCTGTTGCAAATGCTGGTGTTGCTGCTGTTGCTGCGGCTGCTGCAGCTGCTTTGGCTGCGGCTTCTGCTTTGGCTGCTGCTGTTGCGGCGGGTTCTTTGGCTGTGGGGGCTGCTGTGGCTGCTGTGGTTGTGGCTGCTGTGACTGCTGTGGCTGCTGCCCCTGCCACGTACTTTGCGACCTAAGCAACCTAAGCTGGCAAAAGGATGCATGCTCAAGCCGGGACATATCGACTTCAGGTGACGAAATGGGCAAACGATGCAAAGGCGCAAGCACAAGATCTTAGAATCTGGGTGAATTATAATAATTCACCAACCTGAAATACGGTGGTTGGGGGGCTAATTCCCACATAAACCACCATTTGGGGCGAATTCGGTCGTGTGAGGTCGCTATAATTCACCCAGTTATGGACGTCTGCGTCATTCGACCAAGCATCTGCTTCTGGTGGTGATGCAGCAGAAGGAGTTCCTCTTCCTGTCAGAAAAGCACTAACAACACTCTTGTCAGCCTGCGCGCCTTCTTTGGGGCCTTTTGGCCTGTCACAAAGGTGCCAAAGCCCATCAACCCGAATCCGGCTGGCCGCCTGCTCGTGGCTGTGGCCTCCAACCCCCTCACGAAAACCCGGCCGATTTCTCGAGGGCTTTCCAACTGACCCCCACCCACTTTTGCGGGTTCCCCTGAAAAACACACCCAGATGTTCAGATGGTGTTGTCGGGGTTTCCGCTCTTTCGGGGTCTCCAAAAATCCGTTTCCGTGGGCCCAAGATCTTCGGAGATGGGCTCAGAATGGGACATGGTGGACATCTCTACTCTTGGTATGGGATTTGCAAAAAACTGAAAACTTGGTTTTTTGGCAGACCCCCAGGATAAATGAGCAGAAAAAAAAAAAACGAAACACATGCCAAGAACAGTGAAGGGAAGGTAGCGCTAGAAACACATGAGCACATCTGGCCACACCCAATGCTTTCGGAGCAATGAAGGGAAGCTCCCTCGTCATATGATCGAGGCGTGTCAAAATAGGCCCTCAAAATGAGCCGTGTCCTTTTCGGTTCCTTGCCCCGGATGGGGACCTGGAACGAACAGGTGACCTTTTGGAACCTTGTCAATGGCCAAATCAGGGAAACCACAAAGGTACGATCAATTCGCTTTGGGCAAGTGAGCCTTTCAAGCCCACCCAAAAGGGTCCCCTCAAAATTCTGCAGTCTGGGTTCCTCCTTGGCCAAGTTCTCGCTGAGGCCGTACCACATCTTGTCCAGATGCTCACGCCTCCGGATGAAGCGAGCGTCCCGTGTGTTAGACATAACCCCAAAAGGGGTGAGTCACCAGATGTGCACAAGAGGCGATGTGGCTGTGGGTCAAAACCAATGTTACCATTTTGGGGTAGGTGCACCACCCGTTTTAGTCTATTTTAGTTGGGATTGGGATGTTCACTTTTGACCCATGGCCATGTGGGTGTGCCCTAAAAATTCGACACTCCAAAGAAAGATATGTCATCTTCCTTTCACTTTCCCTTGGACCCCCCCAACAGGAACCCCCGCAAAAAAGAAGCGAGCGCCGCCCCCATGCTTCCAGCCACGCTTCCGTAGCCTTCTAGCTGCCTGGGAATTCCTAGGCCCCGAGACCTGATGGCTTTCAGCTTGGTCATGGCAACGGCATCCCGGGTCGGGCGCTTTCGCTTTCCATCCAAAAGGGCGCCCTCCAAAAATCTGGCACCATTTCAACGGCAGTCCTTCACTGGGGGAACCACCTAAGAATCAACCAGGTTGATCTACATTCGAATGTCATGGCAAGCACATGCCCACACGGTGATGACGCGACTCGTCGCTTTGCCGAAGAAAAAACGTCACCCGGGAGTAATTACCCCGAAAGAAACTCGACCAAAAGTTGCCACCCAGAAACTTCAGGCCAAACTTGTCACTCGCGACTCGCGACGAAAAGCGACGCCGATCCGGGTCCCGACGGTCGACGTCTCCGGAATTCTCCCTTCTGAGGGTGCGGCAACTTTAGAGCGCCCCAAGGATCCACCTGGAGGGCGGGACACGAATGAACCAAACAGGGATTGGTTGGAAGGAAAAATCGCTTGCCCTGGATGGAGACCTGGACCGGTGGAACTAAAAGGTGATCACATGGGTGCGAGAAAACGCGGGTTTTAGTCTAAAGCGGGAGAAAAGAGAGAGGATCTTGGAGAGGATTGGTCCATCAGGTCTTAAAATCGGGTTTTTATCCCGGGTTTTTACGGATCGCCATCCGGGAGAAAAACAAATGCCCCCCCCCCCTTCCCCCAAAACCCAAACCCAGAAGACCACGCCGCCACCCAGCATCCTTGCATGAACTAAATCCACGAGTGCAGTTTGATTCAGTTGGCATGTTCCCTACACCCAGTGATTCCATTTCCCTGTATAGCAAATTTACCAAGGGAACCACCCTTTGAAAAAAGAAACCCCGGTTGGTTCCCTACTATGATGGCTTGCCTGGGATCCACTGGGACCGTAGACCTGCCATGGTTCGAGGAATTTCTCCTGGGAAATGTTCCTTCTGTGAATTTGTAGTTCCCGCAAAGGATGGCAAGAATGGAGCTCCGCAAACTCCCTTTCACGTCTTGTGAGCTTCCCTACCCATGGTGCCAACTTCAGTGGCAAGAAATCATCAACCTCGTGTTCGGGTTTGGAATGGGTTCAATCCTGGAAGCTGTCAAGGGTGGGTTTGGACGAGCAATTGCAACGGCCCACAAAAACCAGGGAAGCTGGGCCAATAAGTGTGTGAGTTTTGAGGGTAGGCTGTTTTTTTTCTTGTTTCTCTCTTGCTTTGTGGTTTTAAATCAAAACCAAAAGGAAAACCCGGGTCCAGAAAACGATTCCGCCAAATCAAGAGTTCTTCCAAATCCCACCCAAATGGCACTCAAAAGAACGGGCTGATGTTTGAACCAAACAACCAGTACCACCGAGGTCAAAGTATGGCGGTCGCCCAGATTCTTCTTTAACAAAACGGGGCCAAGTCCATGTGATTCAAATTCAGCCCGTGCCGCCCGTCGCGCCAGGCCCAAATGGACCGCTTCCCTGCTGTTGGCTTCCTTTGAAACCCAAAGGGTACCAACTCTCGCGAACTCTGCTCCCCTGCTAAAAGTGACTAACTTTTGGTGGTTTAAGAGGGAAAACCCCATGAGTTGGCAAAAAGTTAAAGTCCTAACATCCAGGCAACATGCGCCAAAGCCAAGACGAATGATTGATCCTTCATGTTTAACCCCTTATTATTTTCAATCACCAGCGTTCCCACAGCTAAAACCAACAGAAGATACGCGTGCAAGGCATACCCAAATCGGAAAGTCTGAAAAGTCGCGACCGGCTCGCCTCCCGGTCAAGAGGAGCCGTAGCGCGCTGCTCGGACCACCATCTGCCGCGAGGGATGGCAGAAGCCACGAATCAATCCCAAAGAAGAAGGGCAGGGGTCCTTATTTGCGTGTCTTTGGGAGGGTACCCCCCTTTTGTGGTATTTCTTTTTAAGCAAAGCGAACCAGCATTTTCTTCTTGTGGTGGGGAACATCAACCCACTGAAAGTCAGCTCACTTCAATTGTTTGCCCCCGAATGTGATGTTTGAAGCCACCAACACTCAGATGCCGAGTGGCCATGGGAAAAGACAGGGCACCCTTTTTCTGGTTGGTTGCTTTAAATTAAAGGGGGACCTTCCCCCCCCCCCAAAAAAAAAGAGGAAAAAAGGGCACCACTGGGCAACTGAGAAGAGAGGAATATAGCGAACATTTACTTGCTGGTGCTCAGCAGGGAATGAGGGAATGACCCCCCATAGACCTTCCCTTGTGGTTTCCTTTCAGGGACTCAAGGGTGTGGCTGACAATACGGGCGCATGGTGGCAACTTCTTTCATCGCTCGGCCTGACATCCTCTTTGTCCGCCAGTTCCGTGCCATACAGGAGGTTTTGCTCCTGCCAAATTATTGCCGTGGGAAGGGCATGAAAAAGCCACCATGTTCCTCCTCGCTTGTGAGGGATGGCTGCATTAGTCAGAATCAAAGCCCGATCTTGAAATTGTAAGAGGGCAGCCGCCCCAATTTGTGGTTGGAATTGTCCCTAGCCTTCATCTACCCGGGTTCGGATTGCTTCCATTTGCTTTTTCGTCCCCTGGATAAAAATGTGAAAATACTCAAGTTTGAAACCAACAGGGGAAATAAATAAACATGAAGCGACGGGACGGTTGCCAAAGCGCTCTTTGATCGTGATGCCAAAGTGGGATTCCCATCCCCATGAGAGCTTATCACCTCTGCCCAAGTTCCCACGCAAGCACTTCTGTGATCAAAGCCCCCTTTGGGGGAACCCTCTCCCCCCCAACACACCCCCTGGGGAGGATGGTGTTCTGGGGTGGTGTGTTCTGGGAGCGTCTTTTAGGAGATGATGAAGAAAGAATGAGTCATTGGCCTTGCGGCCTACCAGTAATAGTAAAGGAAAAGTCAGTGAATTCCTAAGATCAGTGTCCCGCTAATTGGTGGTTAGCCCGGGGGGATGCGAACCCGTGGTTCTTGAGGATAAATAACAAACCACCAAACCTCCACACCAAACCAAAGCGGTTCGGCTCCAAACCGACAATTCTTTTCGAGGTGCAGCTTTAAGACGGACCCTGCCAGCGCTCGAAACAAGACATGAATGAATAAATAAACAAATAATCACACAAATAAATTGCAAATAAATAACTAACAAATAAACATCTAATTAAACAAATGAGCAACTACGCGAATAAATAAATAAACAGTTAAATAATCAAGCAGCAAAATAAGCAAAGACAACACATAAACACATAAATGCATAAATACATAAAAACAAAAATAACCAATAAATAAACAAACAAACAAACAAACAAACAAACCTAAAAGCAAAAACACACACACACACAAAAAGAAGTATATAACCACCCTGCTGCCCGCGGGGCCATGTCCTGCAGCCAGGAAAGGGAGCCCAGCCATCCAATCTGGCGGATGGAGACATCCACAAACCTGTCGCCACACGTCGAAGCCCCGGAAAGGTATTGAAGAATTTGGATGGACAAAATCCGTTCGCACCACGGTTGAAACCAGAACACCACTTTGAAACCGCTATGATACTATGATATGGATGGGTTTATGATAGTGAATAATGTTTTGGATGGACAAAATCCGTTCGCACCACCTAAGCAAGCCATGGCTGAAACCATAGCATTGGTTGATATTTACCGGGGAATCGACCTCATTCCAGTGTTTCTTAGGTTGTGCAGGATTTCGTTCATCCACAGTATGGATGAACAAATATATGGCCATGATATGGATGGGTTTATGATAGTGAATAATGATATAGACGACATGGACGATATGATATATGATATGAATGATATGGCGATTATTATGGCCATGGAGGATTGAAAGGCTGACAGATTGAGGATTGTCTACCCCATATTATAAAAGGCATATAGCCCGCTTCCTTTTTTAAAAGCCGCATATACACCCCAGAACAAAAAGAGAAACCTTCCGAGATGGGCCACCCAAAAAGTAAACCAACTCAAACCGGTCCAAAGCCAAGTGACTGAAGTTCAAAGTTGGCCCCCGAACAAGCTACAAGAAGCCAACCCCTTGGTCTCCGTCATGGGATGATCATCAACCCTCGGTTCAGACATCAAGGGCACCTGGGGTTTGTCTCAAAATGGGGAGGGATCTGGCTTCCTTTGGGGTCCAACCACAAGTGGGTCCACAGTCTTCTGGCCACGTCTTCTAACAGGAAATCACCCATTGGCCCAAACTTCGCTTCCGACTTCCGCCTCCTTCGCCAGCGGTAGATGCGGAAGCACCGCTGGATCCGCGCCTGGGAAGGCTCAACTGAGCCGCCCAGTCTCCGGTGCTACCCAGCTTTTGCCCTCAACCCAACAAAGTATCTGTCGTTCTGGCCGTCTGGCCATGGGTCAAAACCCAAGTCGTACCCCCAGTGAACATCCGATCCAAGCCAACCACTAAGCAAGACTAAAATGGGTGGTGAATTCACCTACCCCAAAATGGTACCATTGGTTTTGACCCACAGCCATATGTAGGTATAGCTTAAGCTGCAAAAGGAAGTCAAAGAGTCCTTTTTGGTTTCCCGTTGGGTAACTTGACAAGATATGGCCCAGTTCACGCCCACCTGGTGATTGCCCATTCTGAGGTCAAAGTTAACTTTTGCTGGTTGAAAGGGAAAACGGTGGAAACCAAAAAAAAAAACGCACAAGGTCAAAGGGGTAACTAATTGTTTGCTTGTTGAAAGGGTGGAAACCCAAAACAAGCAAAAAGTCAAAGTTCAAAAGGTCAAACAAACCCAAAAACAAACAAAATGGTGGAAACCCGAGAAAAGCAAACAAGCAGAAGGTCAAAGCGGTAGTTAAGAAGGTAACCCAAGAATAGCAATTGATCGTGGCGCATGTTGAGACGAAGTTCCTAAGCGCCCCGGCTGCCGCGAAGTGCACGGGCCGCCATCTGATCGATTCCGATCGGGAGCCGCTTTCGTGAGGGAGCTTTTGTGGCTCCGGAGTGGTAGGACAAATATCCCAAAACCACCCGCTTCACCTTGGTCAATGTTCAACCAACCTACCCCCTAGTCCAAGTCAATGTCTCCGATCCCAAAAGTTGACTCACAACCAACTCTCAGGTACTTCATATTTAGTCTACCGCAAAGCGCAGACTTTGCTCCCTATGGATTTTCCGCCGGAAGGAATCCCACAAAAAAACACCCACGTGTAGGGGAAACTCCGTTTGGGAAATGGACCCTCCCCCCTTGGGGGTCCATACAAACTTGTAGAGGAAGTTTGGAGGAGATCCTTTGATCGGTGCTTCTTCGGAGAAGTGGGTGTGACCCGGACTTCCGACGGAGCGGATTGGCCCAGTGAGCGGACTAAAATGGTCTTGTCAAAAAGGTATAAGTCCAGCAACTCGGGAAGTGAGGTGAACATGTGGCGGGCAGAACTCGCCAGTCTTTAGTCTTTGTTGAATTTGTTTTACAAAATAAGTTGGGGCGAGCCCGGGATGCACTAAGTAACTGAAACAGAGGCCTTGCATTTGGATTGCGTCGTGACATGTACTTCCCCGAACAAATATACACCCGGGTGGTATTTCTCTGCGGAACCCTCCGGGACCCTTTCTGCCCCAAACCACCGACCCCAGTTATTTCATAGCCTTCCTGGGTTTAGTCGGGGACCATCACTGCAGTGGAACACTCATAGGACCACTTTCGCATGGCAACCGTACTGGCAACTGACTTAGAACAACCCCGCGGCTGCGTTCGATTCCGCCCAAACTCGCGCTGAGGCTGTAGCAAATCCCAATGCCATGTGTTTGCGTCAAAGGGCACCCGACCAAAAACGATGGGTTTTCCTTTCGGCTTCCCTTGAAACCAACCTGGAAAGGGATGGTTTTCATGGTTTTCCTTTCCGTTTCCCTGCATACTCAGCTTGGCGCTTTGAATTTGCGGCTTGGTGGGTTTCAGGGCTTCCCGAAGAAATCCAAAACGAAACCAACAGGCTCAAGGACCGTGACTTTGGGTTTCCCGCAAAATGCCGGCAACAAAATGGTAGCCTCAAAAAACCAGCCCTGTTGGTGCAGGGATTTTTTTGGGTCCGGCTTTCTGGGAGGTTGATCCGCGTCCAATCACTCAATTCGCAGGATTCAAGTCAGCCGGTAGCGGTGATGTTCATTCTGGGCCCAAATAAAACCTATAAGCAATCACATAAACAAATATTCAAGTAGTTGTCCTGTCGACGTCTTGTATCCTTTTAGCTTCCTTCTGGCAGATATAGTCAACGGGTTGATCAAAAGGTCCTTTACATGGGATGACCATCGGTAAAAACCACTAAAAAACGATCATGTTTCCCACTAAATGGGAAGAGTTACCCATGGTTATTTGGGGGCAAAGATATTGATGACCACCCATACTGTGGATGGACGACATCCTGCACCACCTAAGAATCCCTGGAATGATGAATCCCCTGTAAATGCCAATAAACAATGGTGTCCCATGGCTTCCAAATGGTGCGAACGGATTTCGCAATCATCCACGGCACGTTGACGAGGGCAGCTGTTTGAAGGAAACCAATCATCAGAATTCAGACATAAGCCACGCCTGGATCTGCGCGAAGCGCGCTTTGGCGGACCAGAAAGTCCTGGAGTGCGCGCTCCAGTCGCAACCAAGAGATGCCTTTGTCAAGGATACTCTGGGGGTTGAGTCCTTTTCCATTATTTTCAACCATCGTTCTTTTCAAAAACCTGCTGTTTCCCCTGGGGTTCTGATGGTTTTCTGGAAAGAAGGATCCCGTCAGAATGGGGAAGTGTCCCCTGGAGATACGTCTACGATCTGTGCACGCGTATTTCAATATAAATGTCTATACTAAATGTATATGCTTATATTATACATATACTGGGCAACTTGGACTCCCTGCAAGAAGTCAACGTTTCGCTGGTCGAAAGGGAAAATGATAGACAACCAAAAAGGAATCAGGTAAGCCAAGTTTGGCCACGTTTTTCTCCCCCAAAACATTTCACTGGATGTTTGGCCGTCGCAACGACATGGCGGGCCATAGGAAGTTAGAAGTGGAAGGCCAATTCCACGGAATCCGCGGCGTAAAGTGCCGCGTCAAATAATTCATCTATTCTGGGCTGTCCGTTTTCAGATCTGCTAAAAGGCTTAACTTTTAGTGGGCTCAATTTGGAAACCCAACCAAACCAACTAAAAAGCAAACACCCTAAGGAGCCGGACGAATTGCTGGGAACTGCCAAGTAATCAGATCTGGTACCAAAATAGTCTACGCGCGACGCAAAACCATGGTGTAAATCTCATCAAAGGCCGGCCCCACCTATTTGTGGTTGGGACTACCTCTTGCTAGCCTTCATCTAGCCTCCTTTTGATTGTGGACAAAGTGGTCCGGGAAACGTCAAGTCTGGTCAATGGATCCTTGGGACGTTCGTACCCCCGATATGGATGGCAGGAAAGGGGCGTGTGTTTCAAATCCCCATTCTTGCGATTTGGTGATTCGGTGTTGCCAAGCATACCCTTCACTGCAATAGACGACCGAAAATATTCGCCGGCAAAGCAGTCTTTGTGTGAGCCTTTGTCACATACTGTCGCTAAACCAGATTGAGCTGGGTTCTCGTCGTTGTTTGTTCACACACACACACACACGCCACGCGCTCCCTTGACTTTGGAGACCTGCGCCGCTTCGTCTACTGCCCACCAAACCTTCTTGCTCTCAGAGAATCAGGGGATGACACCTTTTTCAACCATCACTTGTAGTTGCTAGAAACTTCCTAGGCTCATTCCCACCACCCCTGTTCATCCCTGTTCGAGCATGTTCATGCTCTTTCGGGATCTTTCTCTTCAAGTCGGCAAACCTCTCTGGGAGAGTGGGTGGTTCTTGAAGAAAACGATGAGAAGAACGGCCTTCAAACCAAGTCCAGTGCCCTTAGGTGTCCTTTTACGGGAAATAGATGGGTTTCTCTGGTAGATGATTAAACCACCAGGTAAACCAGGAATCGCCATCGATTTTCTTGCCAAAACAACCAAAAAGGACACCTATGCCAGTGCCCGTCTTATAAATCCGCCCGCCTGGTTTTCTTCTGGACCGCCACCAGTGCTGCAACCTCAGCTCTGGGCAGGCTGTGCACATGTGTGAGTGAACAAAAGCAACCCATTTTCCGAAGGGTATAGGTGGATGCGTCTTTTTTTGTGGGTACCTTTTTTTGGGGTGGCTTAAAGGGAAGCCAAAGGGACACCCACCTTTTTTTTGCGAGGGGAGGGTCTCCCTAAAAGAGACACACCCATTTTGGAAAAGCTTGGAGGCTCATGGCAAATACCCTCTTATGCAGGGCTTAGGGTACTTGGAGTACGTAGCCGGAACCAACCCCTGCACAGAAACACAGAAAAAAGGAGACTGTGCAAACACTGGTTTTTCTGCATGCAAAAGCCCATGACAAGTTGGCAACCGGGTAGGGGGAATAGTTGTGATCCTCTTTTCGAATCCTCGTGCATGGCCGAAATCCATGTCGCACAACTTTGAAACCATGGTTCAAGCCATTGTTTGTTGGTATTTAAATAAAGGGGAATCGAATCATTCCAGGTGTCTTAGGTGGTGCGAAATGGATTTCGCCCATCCACAGTATATATATAGGGTTCATTCCGTTGTTCCACGGGGTCAACATGAGGCCACATTAAAGGCCTAGGGCAATGGCCTGGAGGAACCCAAAAACGGGAAACTAAAAGGTCAGATCAGGTCGATTCGTTTTGGACAAGTAAGAACATGTTCTTCCCATTTACCCTCCACAAGAAGGGTTCAAATCCCAAATCCAAACCAATCCAAGCCAACTACTGTGGATGCACAAAATCCATTTCGCACCACTTTGAAACCATGGTTGAAGCCATTGTTTGTTGATATGTACAGGGGAATCATCATTCCAGGGTTTCGTAGGTGGTGCGACATGGGATTTCGTCCATCCACAGTATGGGTAACCTGATTTGTTTGCTTGCCAAATAATCGTCCAAAGTTTAAAGCCCTCCTGGGCAACGCCGAAGCCTATCCCCATCGTCCGAAGCAACCAAACTTCGACTCCAGTTTCCACGCCACCCTGATTTGTTCGGTTGGACCCAAATCGGTGGACATGAATCATGTTGAGATGCTGAGATGCCAAATGCGTGGATGCGTTGTGCTTCCGTGCGAATTCGATGTGCCTTTGGGTCCATTTCGACATGGAATGACCCCAAGCAAAACCATCCAATTGGCGTTTTCCTTAAGGGGAATCCGCCCTAGGTTCAGTGCGATAGGTCCGAGAATTGGAATGAAACACCATCTATCCTATGGTTGCCTTTAAGGGAAACCTCAAACGGTTCATTCCCCACTTCAAATCCTTACCCCCGTCCCGCCTGGTTGCAGCTTCATCTTCGCTCTCCTCGAGCCATTTCGCATCCAAGAAATGTTGCGCAGAGATGGAAACCATCGGCATTTGGGCGTAAAATGGAGAGAACCCCAGTGAGGAATTGTCAGTTCCGTTGTGAGCCACCCCAAGGGTACCTCAAAGAATGCGCGAAAAGTCTGGACATCTTTGGGTTCTTGGACTCAAGTTACAAAAGCGCCGGCACCTTCTTGAAGGTATCCGCAAATTACCCTGAAGGAGATATGTACGTGTGTTTGCGCTTGTCCTTGCTAATTGACCTCCACAGCTAGCAACACAACCCTTGTTCCAAGGGAAGTGAACCAATTGGGCCCTATACGTGGATGTTCGGCCAAGTTAGAAGGTGGTTAGCCACTTGGGGCGTTGGACCCGCAACAAGCTTAGCCCCGCATTCACGGGAAGAATAGAAGTGGATCGGCACTGCTCCCTCATGGCCGCGGGGTTTCGGTCAAAAATCACTGGTGACTATGGTTCCTTAGGGACAGGGGACGAGCTCCAAACACTGCCCCACCACAGGATCCCGCAAAAACCAGAACCATTCCACACAGAAACCAGCAAAACGAGCCCTTGCTTTGTCCCAAATTGTTTGCTGGGCTGCGCTCAGATCCCCTGCTAAGAGTTTAAGTTTTAGTGGGTCAAGTGGAAATCCCCACCAATGTTGACCCAGGATTAATAAACTAAAAGGGGACACCCCCTATTAATCAACCAGGGGTTTATCAATCCGGGGTTAACATTAAACCAAACCAAAAAGCCAAAAAGCTAAGGAACCGGAAAGCTGGGAGCCACCAAGTTTAACGCAAGCTTTGGCTATGGAGGCTGTCCCGCAAGGCGGTGAACCCATGTAAGCGCCCGTGACCCAACGAATGTGGAGTCAAAAGGACCGGAAGACCCGCAAAAAGCGACGACGTGTTGCCGAAAACGGAAAAATGATGGAAACTAAAAAGGCCAAAAGCTCCAAGAGCCAAGCTGACTTTGGCAATGAGAGTGGTTTCATTCTGTTCTGGATTTCTCTTGGGCAAATTCCTCTGAGAGGATTCCACCCGAAAAAGTGTCCACAAACAAGATCGCTTCTTTCTTCGCAAGGACGAAAACTGGACCCTTCAAAGAACGTCTTTGCTCATGTGGGACTTGTGCTGGTGAAAGTGTGCGAGTGTGCGCGTGGTGCGTGTGCGCGTGTCAAGGTGTCAAACCAATCTTGACACTCGATTCGAGTCGCAGCACGCTTCTGCTTGTGCGGGCCAGCTAAGAGCCGTGCCTTTTGCGAGAGCCTCAGAGCGCTTCTAAGGACTGTCATCCGGGTGGGCGGGTGTTCTTGTTGAGGGTACCTGGGTGTTCGATTCGCCAAGTTAGCAAGTTGGTAACCTAGGTTGTCCACTTATAAGTCCCCCGTGAATGTGGGGTTCACCCTGTTGGGGTCAAAAGTCCCAAGTGGTTAACCACCTCTTAGATTGGCAACGAACATCCAAGTACCCGTCTGAAAAATCGGTCATATTCCTGCGTCGATAAGGGGCCAACCGCTTGTCAACATCGAACCGACCCACGGTTGTTTCTCTGTAATAATGGTAGGGGATGTGGCTAAAGCGACCCACAGTGGGGTAGTGGTTTTGGAGAAGTGGACATCATCTCGGGCGTGAGACCATGATCTTACTTGCCCAAAGGGCCTTGAAATAGAAGGCTAACCTTTTCAATCCTTAACGGAATATGGACAAAGGGGGGTTCCCAAAGGCTCAGATCCGCTTGATCCGCTTGTAGTGAGTGATTCTATGTGGGTGTGTCTTTTAGGGCACTCCAAAATGGATTTCGGTTGTCCACCATCATGGTATCTGACAGAGGGTTTGTATGAGAGGAACATTATCTTCACAGTGCCGTCCCACAGCTGCTATGTTAGTGGAAGTGAGGGTACCCTCCGACCAAAGAGGATGTCCAAGGCTCAGCTTGAAAATGAGGTGATTTCAGCCGCTCCAACCCACCATTCCCCGATCGAAGATGTCGGACAATGGCCGAAGCTGACGATCGGAGGGCTTTGCAGACTGGCTTGGGAAGCCCCTGCGCACTTCCATTCTTGGAAGAGTGTAGTAGACTTCAAGTGGAAACCCACCTCCAACAAAGGAAAAAGGAAGCAACCTGGGCGTCCAAGAGTGGCAGGCCTTTTTGTGACGTATCCCACTTTATAGCTATGATTCCGAAGCTCACCACGGAAGCCGTCTGAGGCCTTGATGGGTGATTCGAACTTGCCCAAACTCGTTGAAGCCCCAAGGATCAGACCGCCTCCGATTTGGGCCAGTCCCCAGGGTCCCTGACTTTGCTTTTTTCCTTTTTCTCCCCTCCGCTGGGCAGAAACATCCGCTCGCACGGAAATCAGCCATGGGTTAAAATCCAAATCAAAAAATCAAATGTCCACCCTGAAGGCAAACTTTGCTCCTGGTCCATATCTGGCGGTGTCAAACATAGGTACGCATGGAACCCGTGGAACCAAAGCCTAAGACCGGCGGTCTCCTGGTGATTTGACTTTGACCCGTGCCCGTTTGGTGGACCTGTTTAAAGTTCCTGGTCTCAACCAGGTTCGGGGGACGACCGATCGCCAGACCTCCATTTGATGAAAAAAGGGCTCTGGAAGAATGAATAT